CCGTCTTACTGCGCCTTCCTCCGACTGTAAGGAAGCGGAGCAGCACGAGGCTCTGTCACATGGCCTGACCGCCTCAGCACTCAGGTTTTCAAATTGCCTTCGTCATGCATTTGGCCCGTGGAGGTAAAGCCTGCCCAGAAATCAGGATGACACCTTAACCTTTATCCTCTGAAGGGCCGTTTCTCTTCCTTCTCTTTTTGTATTTTCACTGCAAAACGGCATCTCTTCATTTTACCACAGAGCTAGCTGTGCAGGGGCCGACAGGCTGCTCTGCTCGGAAACCTGTCGCTGTGCTCTTCATCGTACCGAAAGCAGAGCGCGCACAGAACACCGCTCCCACGCACCACCGACTCACAGCAGCAGCCATCTTGGAGCGCTGTACGCGCCGCGGGGCGGTGACGCAGGCGGGAAGCGGCAGCGCGCAGGCACGCATCCCCAGCCACAGCCCGGGGAGATGGCGCCCTCTGGCGGTCGGAGGTCGGTACTGCATCGTCCTAGGCCTCGAGCGGGGCGGCTCCGCTCCGCCGCCGCCAGGGGGCGCCCCCGTCACGGCCATGGAGATGGCGGTCGGGCGGAGGGCGGGGCTGGGTGCGCCGCCATGATCGCGGCGCGAGTCTGGGCGAGGGTCTCTTCCCTCTGGTGACAGCGGCGGGACCCGAGGGAATGGCGTGGAGATGCGCCAGGGAAGGGCCGGATTGGGTGTTAGGAAAATGTTCTTCTCCAGAGGGCGGCGAGGAGCCGGCAGAGCTATCCGGAGAGCTGTGGGTGCCCCATCCCTGCAGGTGCTCGAGGCCAGTTGGCTGTGGCGCTGGGCAGCCGAGGTGATGGGTGGCAATCCTGCCATGGCACCGGTGGGACTGCGTGGGCTTTAAGGTCCCTCCAGCCCAAGTCCGTCTGTGGTTCTGCGCTTGTGTGAACCTTCCCCTTGTATTTAAAGATCAAAAACAACAGAAGCCAGCTGAGTAAAGCTGCCCTGGGCGGTACACAAACACTGCTGGATACAGGAGCAGATGTAAGCGTGGAAGAAAACCTTGAAGGAACAGATAACCAAGGGCACCAATTAGCTCTCCAGGAGGTTTCGTGTTTGTTACCTGGGAAAGCTGTTGCTAACTCAGGTGTAGCAGGGGTTAGCAGTGCAGTTTTAGTTGACATCTTGGGTATACTAACAAGTGTAGGAGAGCAGCTACAGCCTTGCCGAGGGGCTGGAAAAAGGTCTGGGCGCTGAGCCCCAGTAGCCATGGCCGTACTGGTAGGAGCTGCTCGCTGGCTACTGGCTCCGGTATGTCTCCAATGCTCCGACAGCAATGTGGCCATGCGGTGAGAAGCACTCCTGCTTGCTGTGCACCATTATGTTGATGGTGTCGTGTCATCTGTTCCCTGCAGGAGCCTAGGGCTGCAGTGCAGGAGGATGGGATAAGCGAGGAATTCATTCTTTCCACTCCTGTAGTCTTTTGAGTCATGTTCTAAATCGTATCGAACAGCTATCTTTTGCAAAACCACCTACTCCTTTAAAATGAAATCTAAACAGAACTTGGAAATAGAAGATAAGTGTGGAGTTAATCCAGTTTCCGCAGGTTTGTTCCCCGCCATTGTGAAAAACAGGATTTATAGGAGGGTTGTAGAAGGTGAGTAAGAGGAAAGCTCTATATTCCAGACCTTGTAGTAGGTAATGGATGATTATAAGAACACGGAAGCTTTCACAGACATTAATGTTCTTGGTGGCAGCAGACTGAACTGGCTAATACACACACAGTTGGCAATGCGCTGTGTGCAGTAGCAGATCATCTGAGTCGTATGGAGGGAAGAAGGAGGTGCATAAGGACATCCTCACAAGTTCTTCATGTGCATGAGAGCTGGTCCCCAGTGCCAATGCATTGTCTGTATCTTTAATGATTTATCTTTGATGTGAGCTCACCACCTGCTTGGATCTGCTGTTTCTGCACTGAAGATGCTCCTTGGGCTGCCAACTTGTCTCCAGATCATACAGAGGGAGCAAATTCTACACAAACAGGAGCAGGGAGGATCAGTGAAGAATCTGTACACTAGGGCTAAGTTACGAAAGATCATGAGGAGAAGGGGTTCAAAATGTGCCAGCAGAGCTGAGTGGGCTAAGTTTGTGTATTGCATTTGGTGGGAGCTAAACAGAAAACAGGCTGTGAACCGAAATATGAAGGACCTAAATACGAAGGATTGTTAAGAACAACACAGGCTGAGCTGTTCAAGCTGTGGAAGGTGGGCAGAGCTTTCCCAGCCACTGCCGAGCATCCACCTGCAGCTCAGTGCAGCAGGCAGAGTACTGGACTTGGAATACTTCCTGGTGTCTGAAGTCTGAATCACGGGCATGCAAACTTGCTGTGCAATAGAATGAACCAGGAAACTTTTAGTGGGTGGTTTATGCTGGAACAGCTCACCAAACGTGATATCCCTTTTAACAGATACTTATTTCACAGGCACTTTTTTACTGCCATGTGGCTCATACTTATTTTAAGGGGGAAATAACTGGATGGCCAACTAGTTCTTTGAAAGATACTAAGTTCAAATCAATTACACTCAGATTAAATACAGAGATCCCACTGAGCTCTGGTGACTGCTGATTTTGATTTGCTTAGAAAGGTGTCAAAATCAGAGTCTGGAGATACTTAGCCCTATTTTTTGCTGTCTGCCACAGTACCTAATTACTGTTTCTGATACTATCATCTGCTTTAACACACAAATTCCCTCAAACAGCAGTAGTCCCTAATATATCCCTCTTATATTCCCATCTTCTTGGCCACATATTGCTTACTGTGCTAAGTGCTAAATGGCTTTCGGAAAGTGCTAAGAGGGTGCTGTGAAAGGACTAAGCTGAGTTTCACAAGCAACTGCCTGCACAGAGAAATAGTGTTATTAGGGAGAGTGGTGCCAGCAGGCCAGTGTGGGCTTATTCTGACAAATCTGAAGAGCCAAACTTCACGGTCGTGTTCTTAGGATGATTTAAATGAGACATTTTCACCTTGAAGAAATGAAGTTTTTTGTTCCTAGCTGAAATAAAACAACGGGATACTTCATCAGAAATATTCAACAGGATCAGTATGTTCCAGGTCAAGTTCATCTGCTCTGCCGTCTCTAGCAGAAACCAGCTCAGCACTCGATAATTCTTAGAACCGAAAAACGATTCTTGGAAGATGATGGGAACAAAGCCCCAGAGCTAGAAAAGGAACACTGTTTCTTAAGCTCCAGTCAATCTCAGGAAAACAAAAAGCAACCCAGCCACAAAGGTACTGCATCTCCACGACAATTCAAATGCTCCTTGACTAAACGCAATTGTGTGGGCATTTGCAGAAAGAGAGTAAAACAGATCAATATTTGTTATCTTCTTCAACGTGTGGCAGCATGTCGGGGCCGGCGTGTGAGCTTCAGCCTACGAGTGGAAGGGTGGCATCACAAGAAGAGAAGCCAATTAATTGCAAGAGAATCTCAAAAACGCTCTGAGCCTTTCTGGAGAATCAGTTCCCTGGGTGAAACTGCTGCATCTGTGGTCTTGCGTTGTTTCTCTGCTTACATATCAGAGTGCTTAACTGCTGGAAGATGCACTGCCTTGAATTGTGATCACAAGGCACCTCTTTGACGTGTCAGTTACTGTGACTTGTTGGGCTATAGCAAATTTTTCAGTCCAGTGAATGCTGATGTGGACTGGTCTCTGGCCTTAGTGAGCAGTCACACTGCTGCTAATGGATGAAGTTAACTCTAAGTCAGAAGGTCTGAAAAAAAATCTGTTTTCAATTTGAGTATTTTGTTAATTCTATAGGGTGCTTCAGATACGATCATTTTCTGTGTGAAAGAGATGTAGTATCATGAACATTGATGGCTGCTTTGCTAACTTTTAATTTTGCAATTTTTGCAGTTAAATGGAATGAATTGCTTCTTTTTTCTTTTTTGCTCTAGCAACACATTTTGAATAATAGCATCCATAACTGTTTCACCTAACTACTGGAGTTCTGAAATGTGCTTATTACCAAAAAAGGGGGCCACAGAACATGTTTTATCTCCTATCTAGAAGTTATCTGTAGGCCTGTGAGTTCTTTATAAGGAAAGTTAAAGTTAGTCATAAGGAAAAGCCAGAATCATGATCTCATTTTATAGTTGGAGATACTGTGATGCAGGGGCAGGTGCAATGATTTCCCCACAGCGTCGTGCCTTAAGTTGTGCTAGGGGAGGTTCAGGTTGGATATTAGGAAAAACTTCTTAGAAAGAGTGGTGAGGAGTTGGAACAGGCTGCCAAGGGAGGTGGTGGATTCACCATCACTGGAGGTGTTAGAAATGTGGATGTGGCACTGAGGGGTGTTGTTAGTGGGCATGGTGGGGATGGGCTGATGGTTGAATTAGATGATTTCAGACGTCTTTTCCAACCTTTATGATTCTATGTGGCATGTGCAATAAGTCCCAGTTCCTACTACATGCCCAGCAAAGTCCCCGGCCCACTGGGCCGTTCACTCCTTTGCTACACTATTTCATCTGCTTTCCTATTCCACAGCAAAGAGCATAATTCAGGTTTTTTGCATCCTTCCAGCTAGAGGATGCTGCTTCCTAAGTGATAATGGAGTTCCAAAAAGCATCCCAGATTGACAACTCTTACTAGAACCTTATGCTTCTTGATTGTTTCAAAAGGCAAATATATATCTTCTACTCCCACGTCATCTAGAAGAAAGGACACATTGCTAACTAAATGTGGCCAGCGGAGGATAGCAGAACCTTGTTTGCAGCTCAGCACTGGCTATACTTTCCTTCTCCAAGTTGAGAAACGGTGACAAACTCAGTGGGTTCCAAAATCGTTCTGTGTTTTTGATTGTTTTGTTTCCTTAATGAAATTCAAAACTCCAGTATTCAAAGAAACTGCAGACAGCTCTAGGGAGAACTGAAAAAGAGGAGGAAAAATTTGTCAATTTTTATTTCCAGTTAAATCACAACAGAGACTGATGGCTACGGAAACACAATATGTCCACATGGATGTAGGCAAGGCACAAGAGACTAAAAGCAGAGACTCTCTGCACTGGTGAGAGCTTAGGCACTTTTTATTGTTCCCCAGAAACCTCCTGGGATCTCCTCACCAAGATGTTCAGACGGAGCTTCAGAAGGGGCTGGGAACTTAATTCATGGCCTTTTTGCACCGGCTGCCACAGGGTTTCTCTCTAATTTAGTAGATGATAGAAGGAAGTTGCTCTGCCCTCACTGTCAAACTAAATATTGCCATCTCCAGGCTTTGTAACAAAATAAATCATTTTGTCTTCATTCCTGGGGTGGCACAATTCAATTGTGGCCACCCTGGACATACGCCTTGGGCTTGTTTCCATCTTCATCCTTCATTAGCTGCCTGCTGGCAGGCCTGAGCAAACCTAGGATATCCCCGATGAAGTTTGTCACAACGTGCTGAACAACACTGTAACTAAATGGCAGTGGTTTTCATGCATTACTTGAGTACTTGATCTGAAGCAGAAATGTCTTCTTATCCTGCTCCCAGTGGTCCGAGAAAAAGTTTCATTTTGATAAGCCAACAATGACCATACTATTCTGTAGCCTCACCTTTCTTAAGCAATTCTGAATCTTTCTTCACAGAACACGCTTTCAAAACCTCTTCTCAGATTCGCTGCTCAGCTCTGAGATCTTCAGTTTGTGTACAGCCTTCCTGTGCGAGGAGGGGCAAAACAGTTACCTGATGTGTCACACGCCCAACAGCCAGCATTAGCTTTGCCTTTTTTTGGAACAGCGTCGTACTGTTGACTCCTATTCAGTCCATGGCTCACACCCTGAGCTGCCTTTCTGCCGTGCTGCTGTCTGGCCGTTTATTCCCCATTTTCTCTTTGTGCTTTTGATTTCCTTCTCTTAAGTGTAGCACTTTGTACTTTTCTTTACTGAGTCGCTGATTTTCTCCAATTTAGCGAGATCATTTTGAATTCTCAGTCCATCCGCCAAACTGTTTGCATCCTCTCCCAGCTAGATGATGTCTGCAGATTTTATGAGTACTCTTTATTCCCTTGTCACAGGTTGTTAATGAAAATACTGCATAAAATGGATTCCACACAGATGTTGGGAGAAGCCCGTTTGAAAATTCCTCTCCGAATGACAAGGAACAATTGATAAATGTTTCCAAAGGTATCTTTGTAATGAGTCATGCACCTACTTTTTGAGGATTTCATCTTAACTGTATTTCTTTGTTTGCTAAGGGGCCACACCATCATGTGGAACGGTGTGAAAACTGTGTAAGAATCAAGACGTGTTACCTCTTACCTATGAAGAAGGGTATATGGAACCTGATCTGAGACAGATACAGGCTTGAACAATTCTAACAGTTTCCAATCTTCATTTCAATCACTGCAATTTTGTGTGCAACCATAACCTCAGTAACTGTCTTCTGCATCCCAGTGATTAAAGCTCATTCAATATTCAGCCAAGTTTCAAGAAAACATTTTCTTTCCTTGCTAAGACAATATGTAGACAGAAATCAGAGACTTTTTACGATCCCAGATTCAGTGAGGGAGATGTTGGCACTGTCTAATACCCGCATAGCTGTGATAAACTCCTTTGCAAAAAATATGACAATGTAGGTTGATTCTTGAAGATGTTTCCTCACTTTGTAGAACCCCCTGCAAGGAAGCATACTAATGTGTGCTAATAGTTGTGTATGATTTTAATTTATGTACTATTCTGTAGTAGTATGAAATTCCTGATGCAATCAGTATCATTGCAAAAAATAAAGCTGTTCTTACAAATGAGTTACAAATCCTCATTAGCCATCAGATGTTACATTAGACAAGCATTTGCTGTATCCTCAATGTATTATGCAGTTTTTATTGCTGTTTATTGGTCACCTCTGTCCTTAACAGCCTTCATCACCCTAGTATCTAAGCAACTTGATCCTGTATGCCCTAGTGTCGAACAATGGCCTACCTCTAAGAGATGCTTTTATTTTTAGGGAAACTAGCACATCATCTCAAGGAATGAATGGTTATGATTCTGTAACACTGGAAGTGACTAATGCCGTGTTGTAAATGGGATAAAGGGAAATGGAATGTATTTTGAGAACAAACAGTAATCATTGACACAGTAATTTGCATCCCTAGATATTATAATAATGACTAAGTATCACTTCCCCTTGTTTGCATAAGGAAGAGTAGGCAGAGAAATCCAGTGATTCGGCTATCACTCAAGCAAGGCACTAGAAAGGACTGCATAGGTTGCTTTACTTCATGTTGTTTTCCTCTGCTTTACTATGTCATTGAAATGTAGCTTTACAAAAGTCACAATCCTTCTTAGCACAAAAGTCTGTCAGTGTTTCACCAGTTCGTTCCACAGCTAGCATGGTGCCACAAGAGTTGGTCAGCACCTGTGGAAGGTTTGAGAGAGGCAAGGCACAGAGTGCTGCCTTCAGAAGAGCTAGTTTGGATGGGTGACTTGGGATTCCTGTCAATTTGCATGTATTAAGTGCCAGCAGCCTCAATCTGTGCTGTCTTGCTGATGAAGCTAACATATTTTTGCTGCCTGAGGAAACTTCCTGCTCTTTAGCAAGCAATTGCAATTGTAAGGACCAAAGTCTACTCAGCAACCCTTCTACTTCACGACCAACCTGCAGCACAGGAAGTACTCACTCAGATTGGATCCTGAAGGTATGTTTGTGCAGAGAGCTGCTTTCACAAATATTTCTAGACAGGCGGTCGCTAGGAAGTCAGAACCACTGCATCAGAGGTGGATTATTTGGGAGCTGAAAAGCAAATATGTTTAATGTCTTAATTTTTTTTAGAAGAAAATTAAGCACCTGAGGTATGATTTGCTTTGTACTAAATGAAGGGAGGGAAAAATGTCATTAGTAGGATTGGTAATAGCATTCTAAGTTGTCTTTGAATTTCACACTGGCTGCATATCACAGAACCAGGGCAAATAGCAGTGAATACAACCTTTACTTAGCTTCTCCTGACAAACATGCAGCAAAGGGTACAGCAGGCTCATGCTGATACGTGGCCAGAAGACGTACCTAGAAAAGGCAGTCACTCTTTATTCTAGTTATTTGTTTTCTTGTAGCTCTAGGCCCAAATGGAATAGCAAAACGGGCAGATCTTAAGACTTCACTGCGTGAGAATATGATAATGTCTAATTAAGGTCTATCTGGCCTTCTGCCTGTTTCATGTACCTAAACCAGGGGTTAGAGTTTCCTGAATATGTGAGGGAATTGTTACTGTGAGTGTGCAGCGTTCAGCCGTGGGAAGCAGTGGAGAGAGGAGGAGAATATCTAGCTGCTGAGCATGTCTTCATGGTGGAGGTGTCATCCTGGCTCTTCTGTGAGCAAGCATCTCAATGTGTGTCAGGGCTGGTAGAAAATCAAGAAATACCAAGCAGCTATGAATTCCCCTGCCTAATGCCTGCTTACAACTTTGCACACACGCTGCACTTTCCCCCCTGCTCTTTGCCTTCAAGCAAAAATGCTGCCAGTGTGGCAAGGCCTCTAGTGTGAGAATAACGCTGCCATGCCCTTTGGGTACCACTGCAATACAGATGAAGAAACATTGGTTTACATTTGAGTAGAAGACCAGAAATTCAGTGATTCTGGCTCATTATCACAGCAACAGGTAGCTAGGAACCTCCTTACTTTTTCTAGTGCATTTTTCAATTGTTTTCTGGTTGTTGTTGCCTCTCTCTTCCCCTACAATGCCCTTCCAGTGGCTCCTGCCATCCTCCTGGTCCCAAGCCTTCCATCACTCCCTGTTCCTGCCAGAGGGGAGGGAGATGATGTTTTATTGGGGCTGCAGAGGAAGAAGAAGCAGGAGACATCCAGCTAGAAGGGAAAGGGGAGAAGCAAGGGAGGGAAAACAGGGGAGAAAGCCAGAGACATATTGGCTGGAGGGGGGCATTGGAGAAAGGGAAAGCTGGGAGCAAAGCTGGAAGCAAACAAGGAAGAGAAATGAGTCAGAGAAAGACAGGAGGGACACTCACTGTGATACAGGCAGGAAGAAAGACAGGAAAGAAAATGCCAAGAAAAGATAAAGGGGAAAGGAGGCAATTTATAGAGGAGTGAATACAAGATTATGAAGGGAAGTAGGATGATTTGAGATGTTATGCATTAGGAGGCAGGAGAGAAGGGATATTTCATAGAGGGCAATAATTAAAGGTGGAATTGTGCTTGGCATTGAGGAGAGCATTTAGGGCTGAAGAGAAAGAAAAAGGGAGAAGAAGGAATAAAGGTAAAAAATCAAATCCTCATGTGGATCAGGGAGATTTCATGAGAAAAGGGAAGGGAAGGGAAGGGAAGGGAAGGGAAGGGAAGGGAAGGGAAGGGAAGGGAAGGGAAGGGAAGGGAAGGGAAGGGAAGGGAAGGGAAGGGAAAATCCTATGAGCTAGAAAATCAACAAAAGAGAACACTAATCTAAAATAGAGCATGAGAAACAGGGATGAATCATGAAGGAAAGAGAGAAATAAAGGAGGAAGGGAGAATAGGCTTGGAATATATCAGAATTCTTCTCTAAAATAGATCCAAACAGAATCTTTATTTAAAAAATAAAAAATAAAAATTCAAGCAACAGTAGGAACACACAACTTTTTTAAACATTGAAATATTGTTGAATGCATTCAGCCACTTTTTCTGGTCCAAGCCCTTGCAGCCCTTACATTCCCTATAAAATCCCTGATGTACCATAGAGCCCTTCCCTATAAAAAGGACATCGTGTAAAGGCACACACTTGTTACTGAACTAGAAGTAGGGAGGGAAGAAGATCCCTCCATGTGTAAACCCCATTATCCTCCCCATTACTTAACATAATTTGCCTTAGGCAGCAAGTTGAATCCTCCAAATATTCGCTGCAGTGAGAGATACAGAGCGAGGCACTCACTTATCTTTTCAGGTGGATTTCACAGTCTGGTTTTCTCTCTTTGTTCTCTCTTTCTCCCTGGTTCTGTTGTTTTTCTTTTATCTTTCCCTTTCACGTTTTTCAGCCCAATTTCACTTTCTGCCTGCTGTTCTCAAACAACTTACTCACTTTCTGGTTATATTTTCCTTGCCGCCTGTCACCCACCCTCTGCTGATGCCCTCCAGGGGTTCCCTCATTGTCTGTGCCACCCCTTTGCATCTCTGCCTCTCCCTCCAGGTGATTACCTCTATATGCCATCCCCTACCTGCCTCAACCAGAGCATGTGCACTGCCTGTGTCACCAGGACTGGGTATGTGACTTCCCAGGGTAACTCCAATGTCTCGTTTCTTCTCATAAGAGGGAAATATCTACAGCTGTATAGTTTGCCTTTGAACACCAACAGAAAGGAATATCTACCTCTATCACATATACATCTATTACATGTCTATTCTCTATTTGCTTTCATTTGATCTCATGGTCTCTCGTCTTCTCTGCTTTGTTTATTTGACCTTCTCTTCTGATCCAAGTATTTGATCTGAAGTTAAAAAAAAAGTGCAGGTTGGAGTAGATGATCTTAGTGGTCTTTTCCAACCTTAATGATTCTATGATTTTATTGAGGCCATTGGACTGAGGTCTGGAGATCTCTCTGAATGCCATGCCTACCCCACATGCCACTTGCAAAATCAATGCACTGCAGGACATCCAAGAGGTGTCCTGTCCATGCCAAACTGATACGTCTCACATAAGCCCAAATGAAAGCTTAAAGGATACTTCTGAACTGTGGCAGCCTGAGGTCTCATCCACAGCCGTGGGACTGAGGAACCTTAGGTGGTCCCAGAGCAGGCATCTTGGTGCCCTTGTAATCAGTGTAACTAATCCTCATCATAAAAAGGTGAGGAATCTCAGCCTTCAAATTGCTCTGTTCTGAGCCTCAACACAGGCAGCACCCTGGACCACTGCAGACGTTGGCACTCATCCTGGCACCAATCTGCTCTAGCCCACACACACTCTTAAGATATCCTTGATCCCACAGGTAAATGAGTCCCAGGGACCTTCCTAAACCCACACCACCTGGAGTCTCCCTCAAGTGACCCATCTTGAAATGCCCTTAGCTGAAGTCAACAGCAAAGAGCTTTCTACATGTGCTGCAAAATAATAACATAGGAGAAAGCAGACGGCACTTGTAGAGGATTTTTCATTACTGCATTCAGATTTTTCTTCATCAGATGAAGATAAGGACTGTATTTGAATAATCCTAACGCTGCATGCCTTCTTCTGGCACTGGCGTAACCCCTTTGCATGTGTGGAGCTCAGGGTTAGGAGTGGCAATAGGAGAGACAGGTATTGGCAAAGGGCTTCTATTCTCCTGGGGATAAGAGCTGGAGTTCCTTGATACCAGTGCTGTATATTATGTTTTTAGGCGTGAAAATACTCAGTCTTTTCCTAAACTGTTTGCACAGTGCCCATAAAAACGTGGCTCTTATTTCAATCAGATGCTGGTGCTGCTGTCCCATGGCAAACGTCGTATGTCTGGAACAGTTCTGCCAGGGTGAGGATGGGGATCCTCATGATCCTCATCTTCCCAGCATGAGCACGCGTGCCTGTATCATTGCTAAGCACATCTAGGGGGCAGCTGAACCTTGAGCGGGGGAAGGATGTGGAATGACACTATTGTTTATCTACCTAATCATGCCGTTTTTTTCTCAATACCAAAACAAAGAAGGAGCCTCTAAACTTTTCCAGAGTGTATCACAGGATCGGGACAGGCTGGCCTGGCAGGCAGATTTCCCACCAAGCAGTTCACACCGACAGCCAAAGGAAGAGGCACGATGAATTGGGAAGCTAAAAATCAGCAAAAAAATCTCTGCTGCTTCTGCAGCTGCCTGATGGTGAAAAGGAACCATCTCGATGCCAGAAGGAGATAATCCGCTGACAGCCGGTTATGCTAGTAAAGATAAATAAACAGCAGCTATTTGATCCCCTCCAAGGACACCACGGTAGAAGGGGTGTAACTTCCCATCCCTCAGCTGTTTACAAATAGCTGAGAAACGTTTGTTTCTGGGAGATAATTAATTTATTTCAGTCTGGGCAAAAGAAGAATTGCTGAAGGCCAGCGTGGGCTGGAAATGGCGTTTTAGCACCTTTGCATATTTGGACATTTTTCCTTGAATTCCTCACTAAATCTGTACAGGACACATTTCTCCACCAGGACAGGCAGTGTTTGAGGTCTCTCATTTTATCCATTAAGGTTAATGTTCCCAGTACAGTCTTCTCATCTCTGCCAGAAAGGATTCCCTGAGGAATTTAAAACTTCTGAATGAATTCCCCAGAAATACCCATTGATATAATTATTCCCAGGCACTGTAAGTTCAATTTTGCTAGAAAGAGGCAAGCATCCTGTGCAAGTGAGGAAAGACATGGTTCATGTGAAACTGGGGAGATAAAAATTCCTTTTTCAAGCTTCAATATATTTAGCAGTGCTATAGTTGTTGTGGATGTAGAAGAGCAAATCATAAAGGTGGTATATGAAATCAACTGTTATCACTGGGAAACACAAGTGAACTTTTAGGTACACAAGCCTTTCTTTAGGTCCAAAGTGGAAGAAGTAAAATTCAAGTTAAATATAGATTTAAATGTTGCAGAGAACATGTTTTCCATAGAGGGAGGACTTCTCAGTTCCTCTGAGGTGGAATTAAACCAGGCCCTGTCACTCCTAGCAGCTCTCCCTTTTCTACTGTGTGCACCGACAGAAATACCACGGTTCACTCTTCATACAAATTTACCATGTGGTTTCCATGCAAATGCCCAAATGGTTTGTGAAATAACAACAAAACAAACCACAGTATGAGAAGTTTCATTCTATCGAAGCAGAGCAGAAGGCACACCAAGTCTGCATACCATAAGCACATGTGAAAAGAGAAGTCTCTTACAATGATTTTGTTTCCCCTCTGAAAATAAATAAATAAATAAATAAAAAAAATGACATCTTTTGTTCCTGAATTTGTACCTGTGACAATCTATGGTAACTGCTGACTCACGGCCTGAAGCACTGATTGAGCACCTGGAGAAAGGACCCGGTCAGCCCTGGGAGCACAGGTGAAGGCAATTCAGCTGTGTGTCTGCAAGAGGTAGAGTTTGTCTGCACCTCTCTTAGACCTCATTTAAAGTCTGACTGCCACAAGGAACAAATCTCTGGTTGGAGATTTCTCACTTTTGGAGTTTTCTGCGTGAGCCTAGATATTCAACTATAGGTGAGTTCTTTTTCTTCCTTTTGTAGCACCTTTCCATTTGCACTAATCCTTTTGTTATTACTCTTTCTACGTCGCCCTCCCACCACATAGATCTTTTGGATTGTTACAGCCAATACTGTTGGTAAGAGACCAAAGCTGCCTTATCTAGCCTATCCTTTCCCTGATAACGTCCCATCTCAGGTACTTTGGGAGGGCTGTATGAAATGGGGCCTGAAGGCCACTGGTAGTCAGTGATGAAATTATGGCTTGCATCCTTCTGCAGGTTTGTTTTGTGATTTTCTGAATGTATCTATCCTGTCAGCCTCCACATCTTGCAGCAAGGAGTTCCAAATGTGATTATGAGTTGGGTGAAGGGGTATTGCTTTTTGTTTTTTCTAAACACTGTCCGATCGATTCATTTCTTGCTGCTTTCTCTCTCACACTGAGATGCATTGACTGATTGCTCCCTGGCCCCCTTCATGTTGTCCTTTGCCTAGCAGGCCTTTCATTGCTCCCTCTCAGTTTTATTTATTTATTTTTTCAAGCTGGAAAGTCCCAATACATGCATTTTTATGCAAATGAGCTTGTATCCCAAGAGTTGCCTTTCCAATTCTAATGCAACTCTCTTGAGACAGACAGTGAGTCTTCTAGCTGCTACAAGAGATGGGCACAACATGTCTCCATGAAGGGGAACAACACAAGCTCCCATTTCATTTCACCTTCTTCAGGAAGCTTCCAGCCCTCCTTGTTCAACTCTACTTGGCCAACGGCAAGCACTGCATTAGTGCTTTCAACAACTGAGGCAAACAGGAACTTTGTGGTGTTCTGAAACTACCAGAGACGTTCATTCTAATTCACTTCTGTTTATTCAAGTCCACTACAAGAGCAACTAACAAAACTATGTCATGTGTCCACTCAGTTGCCTAACAGAATTCAGGAAGAAACTTTTTTTCATGCTGTCCCTCCCAGTTTGTGTTTACCCGTGTTATTCCTACAGCAGAACTATGCCAATGAGATTGGTGAATGTATTGACATTATCTAGCTGTTTTGTATCTGTGAAGTGTAACATCGGTGCATCTTACTGTTATTAATCAATTTTAAATCAAAGAATGTACAAACTGCATTTCCCAACTTTTGAGTGATATATTACGCAACTTGCTTGTCACACAAAAAATGGAAGGCTTGAGGGGAAGAAATTAAAATAATTATAAATTGGAGTAGCACTGTAGGCCTCTTTTTACATGGAGTATTGTGTTCAGCCGTGGGGCCTGCAGCATAAGAAGGTTGTGAAGCAGTTGGAGCAAGTCTGGAGGAGGGCCACACAAAGATGATTGGAGGGCTGGAGCAATTCTCCAATGGAGACAGACTGAGGGAGCTGGGCTTGTTCAGGCTGGAGAAGAGAAGGCTGTGGGGCGATCTCATTGTGGACTTCAGGGAATAAAGGGTGCCTATAGGAAGATGGTGAGGGACTCTAATGAGCTGTGTAGTCGTAGAATGAGTAAATAGATTTAGATTAGATATTAGGAAGGAATTTTTTCACTGCAAGGGGAATGAGGCCCTGGATCATGTTGCTCAGAGAAGCAACGCTTGGAGATGTTCAAGGCCAGGTTGGATTGGGCTGTGGGCAGACTGATCTAGTGTAGGTGTCCTGGCTCATGGCAGGGGGGCTGGAACTGGATGAGCTAGGACAGTCTACAAATATGATGGCAATGCATTATACTGTAGCTCTAATGTAAGCCAAAACTAAATAAAAAGGATACTTTACAGCTGCATTCCATAGGAGCCATGCTTACTGACTATTTTTTGACCTTCCCTTTGCCTCTTCCCACTCGGTTCCAAAGGCAGCTCCTTAACTTGAAAAAGAGGCAAGATGAGACTTGGAGGCCAGAGCAGAAACCTGGCAAAAACTAAAACTAGGGGCAGCAGCACCCACAGTGTACTTAACTCCTGATAGTCTGCCATTAACTAACATTGCTTGCTGTTAGGCCATGAAAACCCACTCTGAATCCTTGCACTGTCACTCGCCTCTCTGTCTACTGAGTCATAGTTAACTCATTCTCGCATGCAAAGCCGTGCACAGCTCTGCTCTGGCACTGCCTTTCCCCACTGCTCCTAAGTAACTGTTGTTTCACAGCCGGCCTACTTGTCAGCACAATGATCAGCCTGGGCAGCATGAGATAAATACAGGGGTTCAGTGATTTTATTTTTTTTTTTAATATTTCCTAAAGTTGACTACTTCTGCACTGCTTGAAATGCTGATGTTATTCGTGCTACATCATTCAACAAAAGACAATACTGAGATTAAAACTGAAATTAGTGGTGTGAATTTAGTGCTCAGCTGGTAATCCCAGCTCAAATATATGTGTAGTTAAACACTTGAAGGAAACAGAATTGATTTTTAGGTTCTCCATCCCCTCAAAACCCAGGATCTTTACATATGTAGTGATATGTAAGGATTCAGGGGCCAATTTTATGCAAAGATTTTTGAAAACTGTAATCAGTATCTACATTTGAAGTAGCTAGCAGCCTGAAATTATCATCACTACCTACTTTACCTGGTGCAGCTTGGTTCCCCCTTCCCTTCCTCTGCATTCACCTTTTACATCATGTGTTCTTCAGGATAGGCTCTGTTGTATCAGGTCTCCCCTGCTAGGTGCCAAAATGATCATTAACACTTAAAAGAGCTAAAAAGATGTTCTTTCTACTGGTTGTACTGTTTATGGGAATGGACACTTCTCTACAGATGCTATTTGCCTGTAATCTCTGATTTCTGTGCAACCTACCAGCTGAGATGCCTATATGCCTGTGTTTAAAACCTGGTGGCTGCTGTCATTGCTCGTGGCTTGTGTCCTTGGTTTACTGTTCTGAGTGGACTTTTATTCACTTATCAGGCTAGTGGCACGTGGAAAATCTCCATTATAGATTGCTATTTCCTTTCTTTTGGTCCCTGAATGCTTAGTGGTTTCATTTCCATCCACAGTTTTCTGACTCTACTGATGTTCTCCTCTCTGAGCTCTTAGGAAATAAAAAGTGAGAGGGTTCTGCTGAGGGTATCTGGAAAAGGGCATTTGGATTGGGAAATGGATGAAACCATCAGTGGGCCAGCAAGCTACAGCTGAAAAATTTTATGGGGTGACAATACTACAACAAATCAGCCTGAATGAGGGGGCATTATGTTGCCTAACAAAAAGGGCAAAGAGCCAAAAAGAGCTTCTTTTACCTGATAATGGAGCTGCAATTGCTCATGGGATAGTTCATACTGCTGGCTTAAAAATGAGTAACTGCTCCCTGGATCGCTCACGTCTTGGCACGCAGTTTCCAGCTCATTGTGATTCTAAACAGTGTGCGGGATCGGTAAGCGTGCTTAGTCAGCCTGGCCAGCCACCCGAGAGCCGTAAGCAATGTCCCCTCTATGACTGCTCACATCTACTTAAAGAGAAAAGATACAAAAAAAGGTAAGGAAACCCATTCCTTTCGATTGCTGGAGACGATATCACTGCTCAGATTTTCCTTCCATCTGGAAGTGGTCGGAGCCACTCAGCTCTCTGAGGGCAGATGCATCTCCAGAAGCAGAGAGCAACAGCTTATGAAGGGTGAGGTATGTGCTGGCCTACCTAAATTGAAGATCTGAGATAGATTTACTGGTTAAATACACTGCATTGTGCTGAAAGTCAGATTAGATAAGAAGCAGCCAGCCTTCCTGGCTTGACATACTAAAACTTAACATAGCCAAAATCTGTGCAGGCTTGTGCAGGAGCCAGGGATGAGCATGTCTGGGAACCGTTGAGAGATCAGAGACCGTGGTGGAGCTCACAGGTAGAGGTGCCTCCCAACCCAACATAGGATCTATGATCCTATGACTTCTGTACTTCATAAAAGGTATGTCCTGTTAGTGAAACGTTCCGTGATGGCAGAAGAGACAGTAAGATAAAATTGTTCTTCCATAACTAGCTGCAAAATCGCATCTATCCCCAGTACAAACCCACTAGAGACACAGACAATTTGGTACTGTGCAGTGGGACAATGTGGGGAACGTGAGCTTTGCAGTGGGAAAGGGGCAAAGGTTGAATTACTGTTCTTGGAATACAGATCCCAAGCAATGCACTCCTCACCCACTTGTGGCCCACTGCACCAAGAACTCCCCCAGCCTCAGCTGTGCCAGTAGCACTCAGAAGAGCAAACCTGCAGCTGCACCACCCCCAGCTGAGACCAGCTGGCACCTGCTGAGCAAGCAGGTCTTTTGGATGGGCCAGAGCAAGCAGGGGTCTGCTTCATCAGCTGCTGTACTAAATGGGCCCTATGTAAGGCAATAAGCTCTGGCTGAAGTCAGAGTCATTCTGCTAAGCAGTGTGGTTTGTAGTTAGGTTGTTATCCTTAATGGCAAGCCCCTTGTGTGTGTTGTGTTCTCAGGCTCTAGCTCTAGCCAGTAGTCTAAACCATTTGCTTGATTTTTCTGTATCATCTAGAAGCGAGCTATGCCCTGCTCTTCCCTAAGCCTAGGAGGAGGAAGGTATGTGCTTGGAGGGAGCTCTCTGCTGGAGAGAGAGACCCCTGTCAATGCCCAGCTGTTTGGTCAGACAGGAGCACGTCTTGCCTGAAGTGCTCTGTGACTTTCTCTTTCAAGCACAACTCCAAGGCTGTCCCCCCCGCCCTCCCATATGCAGTCATCTAGCATTCCTGCTGACAGCACAGGGAAGAACAGTAATAGGCAAGAAATTAACTTTTAGTTTATTTTTGAGGTAGTTTGATGCCGGAAACAGTGGAAAGGGAAAGCACCGTGTGGCTACCCAGCTCTGTTGGCTCCATCTTTGACGTGGAGGTTAGGAGCTTTCACACTTGCTGCTTGCCAGGCAAGTGCTGAGTGATAGAGCAAAATCCAAGAAGACACTCTTTAAATGTTCTCAGCAAATGGCACTGTAAAGTGGGCTGGATATAACAAAACCGGCATTAGCAATGTAAGTTATTCTTCTGAACATTATTACAAAAATTGCAAGCAGCAGCTCTTGAAAAGCTCCTGCATTTCACTTGGTGAGAAACAGCATCACCAAGCAGATGCCTGCGAATTCTCATCGAAAGCCTGTTCATTATCACAAGTTTTCCACTAACTTTGGAAAGGCCTTGGAGTTGGCTTGGACTTGTGCTTTTGGAAATAAACTTGGACAAGGGGATGGGGTGATGTGATCAAACAGACAGTGGAAAATTTGTGCAAGCTGAAGGCTGAATTTTGGTGAACAGAGAGAATGCCACATTAGGAGGCAGGGATGTGGAGGCCAACTTTGTGGGCAGACACCCTGAAACAAAGGAGGGAATTTTTTTTTTTTTTTTTTTTGTAGACTTCTATCAAGGCTTTGCTTTTCTTGCTATGGAAGCATGCTGCATATCTGCATGAAGCCAACAAACAATGACAGCGGGTTTATTCAAGCATTTAGCTGTGTGTTTAATAGTGCTGTTGTTTCCAATTTCATATACGAGATCACTTCCAATGCTACCAGAAGCAATATGTTACACACGTACCTGGGGAAGCCCTTTCTGCTGATGTGGAAATGAAGCCAGAAGTAGTGCAGAGGCTGGGACTGCTCTTCTTTGTCATTGTGAGCCTGAACAAAGGAGCAGAGTATGTACGTCGTTATTAAAGCACTTCCAGCACATCTGATCAGAACCTATGGATTAAATTGCTGAGGTTGGTGTGAGACAGGCTGAGCCATCCATCTATGACCCACAGATCTCTGTGGGCAGCGTGCACCTAACAAAGACGGTGTGGCGCAGCGCTTACCGCGGCCTGACTTCTGGGAGGAATGGCATACAATTTCTTTGTACATCTGCTGTAATAGTGAATGATGATTTTTTTTTTTTTCTTTGAACTTTGTCCAAAGTTCATCTCTAAAACAAACTTTAGTCAAACCGCACATATTGACTTCTCAACAGAATAAACATGCTGAATCTGTAACACTTAATCACTGGTTCTAACTTCTTTTAACTTGTTCCTTAATCAGAAAGATAGAAAAACAGTGAAAGAAATGGGCTCAGTATTTACATTTGTGGTGCATCTGTCAAACACTCTGAAGGACAAAAGCAGCTCCAGATTGTGTTGTGGGCAGCTGACTCCAGCTGAGTGCCTCCAACTATCGCAGAAGGGAAAACCAAACCCCAGGTTGGTGACTAGGCTGCAACGTTTGGCCCACAGTGAGAAGTGATGCAGGAGAAACCTGAGATGTTGAGGTCTTTCATACAATCACACAATTGTCAGAGTTGGAAAGGACCTTTAAAAGACATCTAGTCTCTGTAACCAACAGGGATACGTACAGTTAGAGTGCTCACAGTCCAGCCTGACCTTGAATGTCTCCAGAGATGTGGCATGCACCACCTCTCTGAATAGCCTGTTTTAGTGCTTCACCACCCTTGTTGTAAAAAACTTACTCCTTTTATCCAATCTAAATCTACCTTCCTTTAGTTTGGGACCATTTCTTGTTGTCATCTCACAACAAATCCTGCTAAAGACCCATCCTTTGTTGCAGCCCCCTTTAGATACTGGAAGGCCACTCAAGACTCCCGCATCCTTCTCTTCTGCAGGCTGAACAGCCTCAGCTCACAAGGAGAGGTGTTCCACCCATTGGACCATGTTTGTGCCCCTCCTCTGGACGTGCTCCATCTGATCCATGTCTGTCCTGTGCAACTATCCCAGAGAAAGGTGAGCGCTG